CACTTTAGAGAATAGCTTCACTTACAAAATGATAGCTTGACTTAAAAAAGAATATTAATGATATTTAGCTTTCAGAACTATTACTGACTGACTTAAAACAGTAGGTACAGGAAGTCCTTGACTTACAACAGCTCATTTAGTAACCATTCAAGGCACTGAAAAAAGTGACTTATGATCATTTTCACACTATAGCGTCTCCACAGTCACATGATCAAACACTTGACAACTGACTCATATTTATGACGGTGTTCTGGGGTCATGTGATCCCCTTTTGCAACCTTCTGACAAGCAAAGCACGTCTGCCTTAATCACGTATGGGCCTGATGGGCACTTGTGTTCTGACCAAGGCTTCCGAGACCGTAATTATGCACACGCTTATTTTCAAAACAAGTCTTGTTTTATTGCAACTCTGGGAATTATTTTCATTCCCAGCCGGTAATGAATCTCAAACAGTCCCTCGAGATAAGCACCCATCTTTCTTATCTGTGAAGTGCTGCCAATAACAGAAGTGTCCAATGAACTAGGAAAAAAGCCAACCGAAGTACAAAGACTTCAAGAATGAATCTGAACCACACGAACGACTTTGCTTCCTGCAAAGGTTTCGTCCTCTTTGCCTGTCCTCTATACCATACGGGAGGGGCAATCACCTCCCAGCCTTATTCCTGAGTCGCCCCTTTTGTTTCAGCTGTTCTCGCCTTCTAGCAGCTCTGCGCACACGCTCACCGGGAACAGGCTCCCCTGGTTCCTCTGCCTCGCTGCTGCCAGACTCTGGAGGCTCCAAAGGCAGCACCCCACTCCCAGATGGTCCTGGCCCCATCTCTTCATCGGATGCAAGACCTTCGTCCGAGTCCTCTCCAGACTCCTGGACTGATCCCCATTCTTCCCCACTGTCCGATTCCACTGCCGTCTGGACAGGCTGACAACAAGCCACAACAATTTACACATGGGCCCCACGAGCATAGGAGCCCCATATTAATCTGTGTATGTTAATCCTTCAATGCGCCTTGTATTATATAAATACAGCAACATATTTATTACATTTTACTGTATTTTTAAATTAATACTATCATGCAAACATATGTTTAATTTTCTCAACCATTAACATTTTTATTCCTGTGAGTAGTTGTCATAGGGGCCCCAGTACACAGCTTTGCCCGGGGGCCCATAATGCTGTTAAAGACGTCCCTGAAGCAAAGTCAATAGGGAATTTCTTAACAGCCGTGTTACTAAACAAGAGCAGTGATTCACTTAGCAACTGCGGCAAGAAAGGCTGTAAAATGGGGGCAAAACTAACTTAGCAACCACACTGCTTAGCAACAGAAATTTTGGGCTCAGCTGTGGTCAGAAGTTGAGAACTACCTATAAGCAGCTAAAAAAGCAGAGAACCTTGATATGATCTCCTAGGCTAATTTCTCTGAACTCTAAAACATATTACTACTGTATAATGCGGTTTCTCACTTCAAGAATAAAATCCAGCATCCAACCAACTTGTAATGATTTCAACACAGATACTTCACTGTCTCTCTGAAATCAACGGGAATTCATCATTTGGGCTAAATCAGATCCAGTGTTGAGGTTTTAGGGAGAATTATCTCTACGAAGTGGTTAGATTATCATGCATAATTTACTCTCTGAATTACCCACGGAGGCTTTATTCTCGGTTTTCTTCTTTTCTTTCCTCTTCTCTTTAATTCCATCAGCTCCAAATTAATCTTCATAAACAGTTTCATTAAATGCTACAGCCACAGTTTGTTTAGCCCATTACGCTGTAATAATGGAGCAGAGTATAGTGTATAATTTTAATTATTATGGAAAGAATATAAAAGTGTACCAGTATATAAAAAAGCAATTCAATGAAAAAGTAATTTGATGAATGTGGATTTACTGATTTAAAAACAAACAAAGCACAAAACACCTTCCCAGCCGCACAGAATCTTATTGCTGCAAGGACAATCTGAGTTTATCAAGACCATCTCGCTGCTTAATGCAAGAATTCAAAATTATTAAACCATCTCAGATAGGTTTTGAATGCATCCAGCAAAGGGGAAGTCGCCACCTCGCTTTTTAACTGGTTCCATTGTTGACATACTCTTATTATTAGAACATTTTTTTTTCATAAAGTTAAATCAGAATCTGCCTTATTGTTTTGTTGTGCGATCTGGGATAAAATGGAATCAATCCCTTTGGGCGACAACCCTCCCAACAGTTATCCAAAAGGTGTTTCTTCAGGAGGCAACTGGACTTTCTTGGTTTTTTTTCTTTTGAAGATGTTTCGCTTCTCATCCAAGAAGCTTCTTCAGCTCTGACAGGACAGTGTGGATAGTGTGACTCGGAGGACTGAGAATCTCTACAGATTTTTAGCTATACAATTTGGAGTAGACACCCTTTGAATGGTGTGGGAGTAGGAATGGATTTCCAGAGGGAAAAAAAATTGCAGACTATAGGAACCATTTGCTTCCCTCAGGTGACCCTGAGGACACAGATAAACCTCCAAGTGGCCTCAACGACCCTCTAACAGGATGCAAGGAATATAAATCCTTTCATTCCCCACCATCCAGTCAGAACTGAAGAAGCTTCTTGGATGGGAAGTGAAACATCTTCGAAAGAAGAAAAAACCCAGAAAGTCCAGTTGGCTCCTGAAAAAAAGCACCTTTGGGACAACCATGACGTGGATGACTGAAAATCTCTACACTCACTCCCAACACTTAAGAACAACTTAAATGCAGCCCCATCCTCTTCTTATAAGACTTAATTTCCTCCCTCCAGATGGTTCTTACTGTAATTTGTGGCACATATCGGTCAGTCCTTGACTTACAACTGTTTGTTTAGTGACCATTTGAAGTTACAATGGCACTTATGAACATCTTTCACACTTACGACCGTTGCAGTGTCCCCAGAGTCACATGACCCAAATTTAGATGTTTGGCAACTCATTCGTATTCATGATGGATGCTATGGGATCCCCTTTTGACACCTTGTGAGTCAGTGGGGAAGGCAGATTCACTTAATGTAAGTAATTTAACAACTGCGGGGATTCATTTAACAACTGGAAAAAGTAAGGTCATAAAATGGGGCAATTGCAGTGCTCTGGGGTCATGCGATCAGCTTTTGTGATCAGATTCACTTAACAACTGTATTACTAGTTGTTCTGACCCAGACCTTTGTCTAATAAAACAAACACGAACCAAAGAGAATAACTGACACTTAGCAAGGCTTGGTGATATCACAATGTGTGGAATATAACAAGGGTCTCCAATCTTGGCAAATGTAAGAGTTGGGGACTTCAATTCCCAAAATTCCTCAGACAGCATGGCTGGCTGGCTGGCTGGGGAATTCTGGGAGTTGAAGTCCACGGGCCTTCAAGTTGCCAAGGTTACACAGACCTGACAGAACAATCAACCTGACAGTGAGAGCAATCAACCAACGGAACAGAAGTTGCCCTTGGAAGTTGTGGGAGTGCCATCACTTGAGATTTTCAAGAAGAGATTGGACTGCCATTTGTCAGAAACGGTGTAGGGTCTCCCGCTTGGACTAGATGACCTACAAGGCCCCTTCCAACTCTGATTATCTGTTATTTGTTATCTGTCATCTGTTATTATCGGTTACCTAAAGTATCACATAGTATTACCACGAGGCCCATTTATGATTTCTAAAAGCACCAAAACAGGCTTCAGCATTACGAGTGTCTCACATATATCACAATCTTACACAACAATCATCCTGTAATTTCCTCTTTCCTTTTCCAATGGTCGTCCAAGAGCGATAATGCCCCCATCCTTTTACCTCTGGCACTTCTTCACTTCCATTGTCTTGTTATCCTCCAATATTTCCAAAAACCACAACTAAAATTCACAACTGCTTATACCCTGCGCTCCTAGGAATCTGCTCCAGGTGTCAGGGCTGTTTACCCATCGTTTTGATGGGTCTCTTTGGGTCAGCACATCCATTACTGATGGATGTCACTCAGATCAAGGCCTGTTTTCATCATCTAAGAAGGCTGGAGATGAAATAATAGAATAGAATTCTTTATTGGCCAAGTGTGACTGGACAACCAGGATGAGCAATCAGGATGATTAGGGGACTGGAGACTAAAACATACGAAGAACGGTTCCAGGAACTGGGCTTGGCTAGTCTAATGAAGAGAAGGACCAGGGGAGACAGGATAGAAATCTTCCAATATCTGAGGGGCTGCCACAGAGAGGAGGAAGGGGTCAAGCTATTTTCCAAGGCACACAAAGGCCAGACCAGGAATAATGGATGGAAACTGAACAAGGGGAGATTTAATCTGGAAATAAGGAGAAACTTTCTGACAGTGAGAACAATCAACCCATGGAACAGAAGTTGCCATCAAAAGTTGTAGGAGCTTCATCACTGGAGACTTTCAAGAAGAGATTCGACTGCCATCTGTCGGAGGTGGTGTAGGGTCTCCCGCTTGGGTGGGGGGTTGGACTAGATGACCTACAGGGTCCCTTCCAACTCTGATTACCTGTTATCTGACACACAAGGAATTTGTCTTTGGTGCATATGCTCTCAGTGTACATAAAGGAAAAAAATACATTCATCAAGAACCATAAGATACAACACTTAGCGATAATCATAAGATAATAATAAGCAATCAAATCATACTAGGAAACAAATAAAACAATATAAATTGTAAAGATACAAGAAACACGGTTAGAGTCATAAATGAGAAGAGATTGTTCTGACCAAGGCTTCCAGACACCATAATTAAGCACACGCTTCCTTAAAACAAATCCTGTTTTATTTCAACGCTGGGAAATTATTTTCATTCCCAGCTGGTAATGAGTCCCAAACAGTCCCTCGAGATAAGCACCCACCTTTCTTTCCTTTGAATTTCTGCCAACGGCTAGAGTGCCAAACGAAGTATAAAAAAACCAACCGAAGTACAAAGTCCACACAGAGCTTCAAGGATTAATCCTAACAGAACGTACGACTTTGCTTCCTGCAAAGGTTTCTCTACCTTTTCACTTCCTTATACACTTGGGGGAGGGGCAATCATCTCCAAGCCTTATTTCCGAGTCACCTCTTTTGTCTCAGTTGCTCTTGCCTTTTAGCAGCTCTGTGCACACGCGCACTGGGAACAGGCTCCCCTTGTTCCTCTGCCTCGCTGCTGCCAGACTCCTCAATCTCCAAATTCAGTACCCCACTCCCAGATGGTCCTGGCCCCGTCTCTTCATCGGACGCAGGATCCTCATCCGAGTCCTCTCCAGACTCCCAGACTGGTGCCCATTTTTTCCTACTGTCCGATCTGCTGCCATCTGCACAGGCTGCCGGTGAGCCACAACAGAGATAAGTAATAGAAAGGATGAGAAGACCAACAGTAATACAGTCTTAGTAAATAAGTTGACAGTGTTGTGGGAATTAGTTATTTAGCAGAGTGATGGCATTTGGGGAAAAAATTGTCCCTGTGTCTAGTTGTTCTGGTGTGCAGTGCCCAAGTTTAAATTTAAATTTAAAGAATTTAAGTTACAGATTGTCACATCTGTCCATCTGTCCATCCATCCATCCATCCATCCATCCATCTTATCCGCCCACCCATCTCATCCATCCATCTATCCTATCCATCCTATCCATCCTATCCTATCCATCCTATCCATCCTATCCATCCTATCCATCCATCCATCCATCCATCCATCCATCCATCCATCCATCCTATCCATCCTATCCATCCATCCATCTTATCCATCCTATCCATCCATCCAATCCAATCCAATCCATCCATCCATCCATCCATTCATCCATCCATCCATCCATCTTATCCATCCTATCCATCCATCCATCCATCCAATCCAATCCAATCCAATCCATCCTATCCATCCATCCATCCATCCAATCATCCATCCATCTGTCCGTCCTACTTGTTTAAATTTAAACTCCTGCATTAATCAAGTCCTTGGACACAGTGGCTTCCGTGGCCCCATCAAAATCCACCATTCCACAATTACGTGCTTCTACATTGAGCAGAAGCCACCTGAGATGAGAACATGTTGAAAGGGGCTGTCTTTGTAGCCTGGATGAACCAGACCAAAGAGAGAAGTTGGCACATGCCTTTCTTTTTCATAACTTAAGGGCAGAGCACATGCTTTGCATTAATCAGGGCTCATGTTCAATCCCTGGCATGTCCAGCTGAAAATGAACAAAGATTAGAAGATCCTTTTTCTCAGATGGCCGCTGCCAAAAGTGGCTGTGAAGACTTTGGCGCCATTCCCTAGTAGTTCCCATATCCTGCTGTAATCTCCCCAGTGACCAAGTTTAACCACGTGCAATAGAAACAAAGATATGGCAGTTTTTTATCCCTCCCTCCCTCCATTCATCCACTCATCCACCCTCCTATCCACCTTCTATTTCTCTTCCTTTACTTTTTCTCCATTTTGCAGTCCCGGATCTTTGCTTGACCCAGCCAGTGGTGGGATTCAATTTTTTTTACTACTGGTTCTGTGGGTGTGGCTTGCTGGGCGTGGCTTGCTGGGCATGGCAGGGGAAGGATACTGCAAAATCTCCATTCCCACCCCACTCCTGGAGGAAGGTTACTGATAAATCCCGCTCCCTCCTCACCCCGTTAACCTGCTTTCCAGCTCCGTTCTTCTGTGCAGGGCAACCAAAAAAGACCCAGCTGATCAGCTGGGACTTGGCAGGTAGTCTCCTGCAATTAAGGCCAGCTGGGTGACTTAGGGCCTGTCACTCACTCTCAATCCAACCTACCTCACAGGGTTGTTGCTAAGGGAAAAAACAGGAGGAGGAAGGTGTGTCGGATACCTTTGCTGCTTGAGTTATTTGTAAAAATAATACAGGCAGCCTTCAACTTATGACCACAATTGAGCTCAATTTCTGCTGCTAAGTGAGACAGTTGTTAAGTGAGCTTTGCCCCATTTTATGACCTCTCTTGCCACAATTTTCAAGTAAATCGCCGCGGTTGATAAATAATATGATTGTTAAGTGAATCTGGCTTCCCCATTGATTTTGCTTGGTCAGAAGGTTGCAAAAGGGGATCATATGACCCCAGAACACTGCAACTGTCCTGACCTTCATATCAGCAACTGATATGCATCAGTTGCTAAGCATCCAAATTTTGATCACATGATCACCACGGATGCTACAATTGTCGTAAGTGTGAACAATGGCCCCATAAGTCGCTTTTTCCCCAGAATCGTTGCAACTTCGAATAGTCGCTAACTGAACTCTTGTAAGCTGAGGATCACCTGCAAAGGCGGGACACAAATCAGTCAATAAAAATAAACACTAATTGCAAGATATAGTTATGAATACCTTCCGTAGTACCCCTTCAATGCCCCCTTAAGTACCCCCATAGTACCCCCTTAATTCTTTTAACAGCTAGAGAAATGTGCTTAAATTGCTCGGCTTGTCCCTGCTTTCGAATATTCCTGATGGTCCCGTCTACTTCTTATTTTATCACCGAATCTGTCATTCACATTCTTTTCCAATGACATCATGCAAATGTGCAGCTGCCTTATCTTTCTCCCTGGCTCCAAAGTTTCTATTTGGAGTGAGGTTAGTTCTCCGGCACCATAAGGAGAGCTCCATCCAAAGGCTGCTTATATCAGAAGCCCTCTGCACTCAAGATAACACCAGTCCTGATTAGGAATTGGGGAAAACTATCAGTATGGCTTGCATTTTAAAGGGGGGGGGGAAACCTGACTGAATGAAATATTTTCAGGCATCCCTTCTTTTTTAAAAAAAATATTTGCAAGATGCCAAAGTGTACCAAAAAAAAAAAAAAAAGTCAGATTTCTAATTGGAAAACAGAGAGAAAAATGAAAAGAAATGATTGCTCCTGGTTTATTTTGAATAGCACATTTTCAAGAAGCATTTTCCCCCAAAGGTGTTTTGTTCTTCCTCCCACAATCTTTTGCATTCGAAGAAAAGATCATGTGTAGGAAATGAGCTGGCTGAGCCCGTGGGACGGATCAAATGCGTCATCAATCTCAAGTCCCTTCGCGCCCACAAAAGAGCTAAGTCCACCCTCCTAACACTCAAAGTTTTTAAGAAGAGATTGGATAACCATTTGTCTGAAGTGTTGTAGGGTTTCCTGCCTAAGCAGGGGGTTGGACTAGAAGACCTCCAAGGTCCCTTCCAACTCTTCTATTCTATTCTATTCTATTCTATTCTATTCTATTCTATTCTATTCTATTCTATTCTATTCTATTCTATTCTATTCTATTCTATTCTATTGCATTCTATTGCATTCTACTCTACTCTTATCTACTCCACTCCACTCCACTCCACTCCACTCCACTCCACTCCACTCCACTTCTAGTCTAGTCTAGTCTAGTCTAGTCTAGTCTAGTCTAGTCTAGTC